CATACTTCCCTTTTTCTTATTTTTTTAAATCTCTCCCGAAAATTTAAAAAAAATAATAATATTTTTCGGATTTTTTATTATTATTTAAAAATAAGAATAAAAATAAAATAATATTAATAGTAATAATTCACCTTCTAAAATTTTGTATTTTTAACCTATAATAAAAAGTATAACAAAGCTAAAAATTTGTATGTTAAAACCCCCTAAAATATTTACATAGAAGAAGACAAAGAAAATAATAATTAAATATTGTCAAAAATTAGGTGCTCACATAAACCATAAGAAGAGGGTCAAGGAACTTGGAGCATATGTAAAAAAGTTGTGTCTTTAGCAGAACCTTCAATACAGCACAACCACCATCATGCAAAAATTAAAGTAAGTACCATTTTATCATTCTTGGACGTAAGGATCAACGTCATAAAAATATTAATCATAATTTTTCCTACAGCGCTCATCTTACGTGACTTCTTTATTTTTATCATAGGAATAGAACAATTTACCGAATTTTCTGAAAGATGGCCTTATTATTAAGTAGCAGAAACTAAGCAATTCCTTAAAAGTTAGGGAAGAGCTGGCTTACTTTTGTCAAACTAATGGACGAAGCCCTGCATTAATTAATATTGACAATCAGTAAATACGGCAGAACACGTTAAAGATTAGTATTTCTATTTAATGTGCTTAGGAGGAATACCAATATAACTGTGCATAGACCTAATTGTTATTGGCATATTGTTGCTCCAATTCTTTAATTTTTATCAATTGACATTGGTTTTCTCATCATATGAATATCTGATGTAGGGTGCTGGAATGAAAAGACCAAAACCGATATTGCAGATTCAGCAGCTGAAAAAAGCACTTGAACAGCTCAAAACACAATGAATTCATTGGAAAGAGAACTGCAAGATATTTTCTTAATTTCAATCGTATTTAAAGAGGGAAAAAATTAAAAGTTTAATTCAGTCCCTTAAAATTCAAAGCATTCAAATGGCAATAAAGTATGTAGAATGAGGGGAATAATTCTATATAAAGAAGAATATTTCATTAAATTAAAATGTGATTTGATATCTTGTAGAATGGTTTTTTTTCCCCAACTTTTACTTCTAAAAGCTGTTAGCCACAGAATGTTAGACAATGATAGATGGAATCAAGAAGGCATTGGTCAACTCATGCTGTCTTCTCCTTATTTCTTTTCTGTTTTACGTATGTACTTGATTTGTTGGTACGAGACCTTGGAATTATTGGCCATCAGGATACTTACTAATTGAGTCCGGAATCAAAATGTGTTTTTTTTTACTCAAAATACGCAAATACGTGTTAAAAAAAAGTTACCAAACTATATATAACATCACAAAAAGTGGCGCTATACAGTAACGGTAACTGCACCGTTACTGTATAGTGCCACTTTTTGTGGCGTTATATATAGTAAAACTGACACATCTTACATAGCGCCACTATTAATGGCGTTATACCCCTTATTACATGACCCTACCAATAATTTCTGGGTTCAATAACTCAAAAGCGTATAAAGCCACTTTTTGTGGCGTTATATATAGTAAAACTGACACATCTTACATAGCGCCACTATTAATGGCGTTATACCCCTTATTACATGACCCTACCAATAATTTCTGGGTTCAATAACTCAAAAGCGTATAAAGCCACTTTTTGTGGCGCTATATACAAAAAAAAAAAAAAAAAAACCTCCGACTAGCCATTTCTTATATAAACATCGTAGAATCGCCACAACTTCATTCAAAAATTGTTTTTAACTCTTGTTGGTTTCTATTGTTGTTAAATTCTCCAACATTTTTTCATTATGTCTGAAGAACGTAGAATAAGAGTATCATTATATTGGGGGGGTGAGGTTGTGATGGAGAATAACTCTGTGGGCTACAGTTTACCTGCTAAGTGTAATGTTAAATTGCCACTTTCAATGGAGTACGAAACATTGATATCGTTGTTATGCAAAAAAATGAGTGTGAGAAAATGTTCAGTGATACTTAAAGTAACCGGAAGATATCTGTATTCCGT